CCGGGGGGCCCCCTGGGGGGGGCCCCTGGGGGCCCCCCGGCGGTGTGTGTACGAGTGTGTTTGTAGAGCCGCTGGGGTGGATGACTGGCCTGGAGGAGCAGCAGGGGAAACTCCTTTGCCCTAACGCTGCGGTACTGCTGCTGCTGCTGCTGCTGCTGCTGCTGCTGCTGCACTTGCTGCTGCTGCTGCTGCTGCTGGTGCTGTTACTGCTGCTGCTGTTGCTGCTGCTGCTGTTGCTGCTGCTGCTGTTGCTGCTGCTGCTGTTGCTGCTGCTGCTGTTGCTGCTGCTGCTGTTGCTGCTGCTGGTGCTTGTGGTGGTTTTGCGTTGGCTGTAGACGAGTAGAGGTTGGGGTGTACAGACAGCTAGAGGTGACAGCTGAAGTTGAAGTAAAGGGCTTAGCAGTGATTCGCTGGGGTTTGGGGTTTGTGCTAGGGTTTAGGGTTTAGGGTTTAGGGTTTAGGGTTTAGGGTTTGTGGTGCAGTGTGGGGGCAAACTCGGCAACTGGAGCTGGGTCGGCCTCAAGTGCTCCTGCGGCCACTGGAGCTCTCCCGCCTTCCAGGTAAACCCTAAACCCTAAACCCTAAACCCTAAACCCTGAGCTGCAACACCCGTGCAGACAAGGCTGCTGCAGCAGCTGTACCAGCCGCAGCTGCGCCTGCAGCAGCTTCACTCACAGCAGCAGCTGTGCCTGCAGGAGCAGCATGAGCTGCATATGCAGCAGCAGCAGCAGCAGCAGCAGCAGCAGCAAGCAGCAGCAGCAGCAGCAGCAGCAGCAGCAGCAGTAGTTGGTGGTTTGTTATTGCTGTACAGGTTCATCTCTCTCGAGTCGATAGAGTAGCAGCCCCGCATGCATGGAGGGGGGCAGAGCCAACGCTGCTCTTCTAATAAGAGCCTAGCTAGCTAGCTAGCTAGCTAGATAGCTAGCTAGCTAGATAGATAGATAGCTGGGTAGCTAGCTAACTGGCCGGTTGGCTGGATAGCTGGGTAGCTAGCTAGCTAGCTGGCCGCCCGGATAGCTGGGTAACTAGCTAGCTAGCTAGCTAGCTGGCTAGCTAGCTGGCTAGCTGGATAGCTGGGTAGCTAGCTAGCTAGCTAGCTGGCTGCATAGCTAGCTGGACGGCTGGCTGTGGCTAGCTGCAGAGCCTGCAGCTAAGATGCCTGAAACGCCTGGGGTTTATTCGCTCAATATATAAACTAGTTAACTAACAATCAGGGTTTAGGGTTTAGGGTTTAGGGTTTAAGGTCTAGGGTTTGGGGTTTAGGGTTTAGGGTTCAGGGGAGGGCCTGAAGATGCTGCTACAAACCCTCAAACCCTAAACCCTAAACCCTAAACCCTAATTCTAAAGCCTAAAGTCAACCAACCAGTGGAGATACACGCAGGCTCTAGGGCCTGGGGTCTAGGGTTTAGGGTTTAGGGTTCAAGGCATAAGAGTTGACATGGTTTAGGGTTTAAGGTCTAGGGTTTAGGGTTTTCTCGTTCTCTATCTGCATATTTGCACTGGTAAATCCTCGACTTTAGTATTTAGCTAGTAGTGTTTAGAATTTAGGGTTTAGGGTTTAGGGTTTAGGGTTTAGGGTTTAGCAGGGGGCCCCCTGCTAGGGCCCCCGGGGCGGAGCCAGCTGCCTGTACACCCGAGCAGAGGTGCCTATACACCTGAACAGGCTGAGTTTATTTCGTTGAATATATTAAAGCAGTAAAAAATATTATATTCTATACTAAACCCTAAACCCTAAACCCTAAACCCTA